CTGGCAAAGGTGCAGCACATTCGGGGTTGCAGCCGGGCCCCGTTCACTTGAGTGGGTCTGCTCTAAGTAGGACTGAAGCTGGTGGCCACCGTCCCCAAGCAGACTTCACATTTCCACGCTGACCAACTTCAGTGTGGTTTTAGAGCAAGATCTTGCGGTTCCCCGTGCATCCCGGAGAAGGCGGGGAAGGAGTCAGGATGCCGGATCGGTTCTTGCAGCCTCACTTCCGCTTTCTCTCTGCCTCTCCCGAGCGACTCTGGCACAATTTCAAAGAGACTCGGCCCCGTGACGTGAATGTGGCGAAGCGAACCATAAACCGTTGGGCTGGGGTGGGTGAGCTTGGGATTGGACCTGTTGACATTGAAATAAAATAACTTCAAGCCCCTTCGTTATGGGGCGGTAAAAAAGAACTTCTGAGGTGAATGGATGCCTTTTTGTGTGTCCCGGTCGGTGGAACTTCATGCCACTGGTGTGGGCGGAGCTGGAGGCAAAAGGGGTGGAGCCAAAATCCTTGTGGATTTGAGCAAAAGGCTCTTATAGCCTCGGCAGAGACGTTTCAACCTCAGGAAGCGGGTGAAAAATGCACGGAAGCTGCAGAACCACAGCCAGGGGAAAAGACGTGCTTTTTGCCCAATTCCGTCTCCTTCCTGTAGCTCTTCAAAGCCTTTTCTCTTTCCTGCTGCTTTTACTCCCCAGCAGTCGTTGCCCTCCAGATTAAGTGGTGAGAGCTGGTGCCCCCAGTGGGACTTCTCATCCATGACAGCTTTTCTTTTGAGCTTGTTAAGAACTGTCCGTAGCAGTGGACCTATTTTGAAGGTGGCATTCAGGACCATGGACAGCACCTGTCCAGTCCAAAGCAGCATTGCAATTAAGGGCTCAGGAGCTGCACTGAAACAGGAAGTCCAGCTTAGCATGCAGTCTGATTCAGCAACTCACTGTATATAAAATCGAGGCTTCGTCTAGTTCAGGGCAGCCCATACTGGTCGTCTTTCATCCCCAAAACAAAAGATCGCCTCATCTTCTCTCCTACCCTCTCCAAAGCTGTCCGCACACTCACAGGCCGTCCTGGGAGGTGATTCAATACGTTTTGCTCTCACAGCAAAAGCGGCGCTTATCTAAGGAATAATCAGAGAAGGCCACTCCAAGACTGTGCTTTTCCTAACTAGCCGAAAGCCAGAAAGCCTGGGCAAGGCTTCAAGGAACTATCTGTGTTCCTGCACATGGGGAAAGTTCACTACACTACCTGTTGAACCTTGGAAACCTCCTTGCCATTCTTCCGGTAGAGCCCATACCATAGAGGGGATACAGCTGGATATCGATCTAGCTGCCTGTTCATCCACTGACAGAGTTTAATGGGCACAAATGTGTTGTGAAAGGAACCATGTGTCCTGGCACTCACTTTCTGTGATGAGATCTTCAAAAATGGTGAGGCATGGGGTGTTGGGGAAGACTCAGCACATAGCCCATACTGGCTGGGGGTGATGGGAATTAGAGTCCCACTCATTGGCAAGGCATTGGGGCGGGGAAGGTGCAGGGTGGCCGTGAGGGTGTGGGGCTGGGCCCGGAGATCCGGTTTAGACCCCGCTCAGCCAGGGAGCTCATGCCATGGGTGGCACTGGGTCTCTTACAGACTCTCAGCCTGACCTACTTCACAGGGTTGTCGTGAGGATAGGATGGGATAGAGAAGAACTACTTAGCTGCTCTGGGTTTCCGGCAAGAGGAAAAAACACAGGGAATAAGTGCGTTGTCACACCAACTACAACCGTGGCAGATTTTTAAAAAAATCTGATTAGTATTTCACGGTGCTTAGAGAGGAGCGACTACACAGCCCATAACTCCCAGTGCTGCACACGTCGCGAGCCCTGCAGCGATCCATGAAGGCCCGGAGCACAGCTGCAAAGGCACACGGCACAAAATGTCCACGTCCCGGTGCTGCAGCCGCCGCCGCAGCCAAGGATGCGCCGCGGTGGCATCGAGCAGATGGGAGTCGATTGTCTGGAAATAAGTCGCTTCTCCTTGGGTGGTGGGCTGGGAGGCAGCCGGCTGGCCGGTCCTCGCATGCCTCGGAGCATCCCTTCCTTCCAGCGTTGCCATGGAGATGGCTGCCGAGCCTCGGAGACGGAGAAGCCGGTCTCTTCCCCGGCCCTGTCCCCATCCCTGTCCCCCAGCCCGGTTCCGGCCTCCCCTCCCCTCCACCCTGCAGATCTGGTCCTGTGTGCCCCCCCCCCCCCACGACCCCTTCCGAAGCAGCTGCGTGTTCGCATTCCTCTCCATTCGAGCTGCTCGGGAAAGCGAGTCGGAGGCTCCCTTGGCTGTGGGCCAAGCGGTGCCTGAACATCTGTTCAGCTCGGGGAATAGGTGGCGAGGCACCCACAAGATGGAGGTGAGGAGATGTTGCCTGCGATGGGAAGGCGGAAAGAAACACGTTTTTGGCTCCCTCTTTCCGCCTCCTGGAAGCAAAGTGACCCCTCCCATGAAGCCGCCGGGGGGGGGGAGGTTCAGGACCAATACGACTGCGGCGTTTAACTTTTGAATTCAAGGAGGAGGCTATCCAAGGCTGCTAGTCCTCATGGAGTCCCTAGAAGCAATGCACCAGCTGCTGGGGAGCATGGGTGGCTGAGTGCTGCTAAACTCACCTCCTTCGCTAGGGCTTCCCTCTGGGGACTGACCCCGCATGGCTCTGGGTTTTCTTCTCCTTCGACAAGCTGTCTGCATTTCTGGTAACTTACCAAATTGGTGAGGATGAGCTGCAGGGACGGCTGGCCGCTAGCCAAGATGGCTCGCAGGCACTTCCCCCGGGCATCCACGGCCGATCCTGGAGTGCCTTTCTGAGTGGCTTTTGTGGGCCAGTCTAGCAACTCATGTAATGAGCCGCAAAAGGAACAGGAGACAAACCTTCTAAATCTGGGCTCCTAGAGAACACAGCAAGTGGCCCCCTGATTGAGTCTCGGGCCCGAATCAGAAATTCAGGGAAGGCAAGAAGACAAAATGAGCATCTTTACAACCGCCTGGCAGAACAACGTCGAGATCCGGCTTGCTTAATAGGTCGAATGTGTTACACACGTCGCCTCCCGAAAGAGGAAACGCACAACGGGAAGAGAGAAGGGCGAGAAGGCCGGTGGGCGTTTAATAGGCACGTGTTAATTTAGGACTCAAAGGTGCAGGATTAAAACAATTGCTGTCAATTAACAATTAAACGGAACGACACCTCCTCATCCCGTGCAAGAGGGAGAAAGGTGGCCCGTGTGCCATCTGCCAGGTCTCCCGGCTGCATGCCGCTAAACATGGGTGGGCAGCTTTCCAGTCTCCACACCTCTCCTGCCTCGGAGTTAAATTGGACCTAGGCTGCACAGACGCTTTTCCCCGGCTTCCTGTCCACCCAGATACTCTGGTCTGCAACTCCCGGGATCGCTAACCGTTGCTCATGCTAACTCAGGCTGATGGAGAAAATGTCTGACAGCACCAGGTGGAAACGGCTGACATTGGGAATGCTTTCCTATAGAAGCTTACGCTCTGCAAAGCAAGACACACGGCTACTCTGATTAAGGGCGCCAGTCCAAGCATGTTTGGGCAGAATCTTCCCCTGCAGTGCTTAGCATTCCCCAACCAGCCTTTTAATGTCTAAGCATGTAGAGGATGCGGCCAAAATTCAGAGCACCCTTCAGTGGGGCCGCTTGGTTACCAGCACTGAATGGAGGAAGCATCGGTGCAGTGTGATCTCTTGGAAGATCGGGCAACAGGCCCGAGAACCACCGCCTCAAAGTAATGTGTTTGTAAAGGCGCCAACATTTTTTTCTTCTGAATTAACCAACCCGCTGTGTTTATGAGCAAAGAGCTCTTTCATGTGGGGCGACTTCTAGGAACAGGCAAGTTCAGCTTGCAAAGATGGAGATCGTCTGTGTGCCGTTTGTGGGTTTAAGCTTCACATTGGCCCCAGAGAATTAAGAATACAAAGGAGCCTCCTTTATTGACACAGAGTTGTAGCTGAGGAAAAGCCGGAATGAACCAAACTGCCTCTTTTCTGCAGAGCCATAAGTATGCAGAAGCCAAACCAAATGCAGATAAGCATCTGCCCTCAAGGAGCTTACAATCTACCTTGCAGATACCTTGCACAGGTTGTGTCACCTCAGGGGTGGTGGCATGAAACCAAGACCTGCATGGCTTCTTTTCCTCGCTCAGCTCCAGAGCGTGAAGCTACTTTGAATGTCAACATGCATATAATAATCGGACACGAAGAGAGTCAAACCATGACCTTAGAGTCTTTTCAAGTTCCTCATTTCTTGCTCACAATTTAAAAGACAAGGAACTGGGCCATAAGAGTCATCACGGTACACCTTCCCTGCCAGGCATCTAATATTATTCTTGCCCCGATTTCCTCCACACCCCATAAACTCCGACTCTTCACCTTCTTAACCAGCCCAAGACCTCCGGCTGTCTGTAAAATGCACCGTTTGGGAGACCTTGCTAAAATCAAAGCCCCCACCTCTAATGAGCTTAACAACCAGATGGAATTTGGGGTACCTAGAAACTGCAGAGGATCCTGGAGGAATAAACAGTCATTCAGCAGGTTCAGTTTTGCCCTGGATATATGACAGGGGCTACAAGTGAAATCGACCCCTCCAGGTCCTCGAATGGCCTCCTTCCCCCACCTGCCGGTGGTGCTGTGGTCGGACCACTTCTGCACAGCGGTTCCCCCCGCTCACCCTATTAAAAAAGCCTTTTGCTCCTCAAATAGGTTGGTGTCTTGGCCCCACCTCTTCTGCCATGGCCCCACCCCTTTGCCTTTGGCCCCGCCCCAAGAACGGTCCGCCCTTGAGCTGAAAGGGGTCCCCTCTCCGGTATGCGATGCCACAGAGAAAGGGAGGCCCTTTCTCTGCCAGTGTCTGGTCGGATCCTGGATCGTACGCTGCGGATCCCTCTGGATCGTTCTCTTGGTGCCAATAAGCATCCTGTTGGCACACGCGTCTGGGGCTGCCTCCCCCGAGGGACCCCCCTCGGGGTCAGACTTCCCAGCCCTTCCCTGCTCCTTGGCTGCTCTTGGCCTCGCCGGTGCAGGCCGTGGGAGCCCCCTGCTCCCTGGGAATCCTGCCGTCCCTCAACAGGGAGGGGGCACAGCTGGCGCTTTCGCTTCCGGAGGCGTGTGTGGCATCCGCAGGCCGGGTCGGTGGCTCCTTTTGCGTCCTGGCAAAGAACGGAGGGGCCAGAGAGGGGGAGAACAGAAAAGGTTACGTGACAGTTTTTTCAAAAAGAGCGACCATCGTAGGTAGAACAAGCTCTGGTTCTTGGGGAACGCCATGACATTTTCCAGTCTTTAGGAACGCTCCAAGGCCGCTGCGATGTCCTCATCTGGGCCACTGCTGGGAATGGGGGTCCAGGGCCGATTGCACCATCGGGTAAGCAAGGGCTCCAGTGGGTTTATTAACAATCAAACCAGATTCATTGACTATATTTATATCCCACCGTATTCCTTCAGGAAGCCCAAGGCAGCTGACAGAATCCCCCTTCTTCTCCTTTCTAGTTTACTCACACAACAACCCTGTGAGGTAGGTTAGGCTGTCAGACTGGCCCCAGCGTCACCCAGCGAGCTTCATGGTCAAGAGGGGGCTGGTATCCCAACAGAGCACCAGGCTTCACCTGCACATGGCAGGCATGTCATGAGCGGAGCCGGCTGGAGCCAGGGGTCAGACTAGATGACCTGGGAGGTCCCTTCTGACTCGCTCTGTTTCTATGTTTCACTGGCTCTATGCACAGGAATTATCACAAGCACAGGCAAAAGGCACGTGACAAAATAGCAGGTCACTTCATGAACAGGCCAGGAAGAACCATGCTTGTCTCTTTAGGCTCAGCTTTCTGGAACTTTGCCAGGGATGCCTCACCTGTGCTTGGCTGAAGCGGCACGGTCCCTCTGCCGACGGTTTTTAAACCAGTTCCCCACCTGGATGGGAGTGAGCCCCGTGGCCTGAGCAAGATGCCGTTTGCGGGAAGGGTTTGGGTACGGATCCTGGAGGTACCATTCCCGCAGGAGGTTGCGTGTCCTTTCCTGGTAGGAGGGAGCGAGGGCGGGCGGGCGGGAGGGAGGGAGAGAGGGGTTAGTGCAAAGAGAGGGAAGGCTCCACACCTGTCCTTCAGGTGCACCCATCCTGACCCTGCTGCCTGGTTTTTAACACTCCTGGCCCTGGAACTCCGTTTCTCCCAAGGCGCATCGCAACTCTCACCTTTCCTTCTCCTGCACACCTGCTGCACTTTCCTGCATTTCCGTTTTGGCCTGAGAGTCCTGCAGTTCTTCCGGCGATGGCTGATAGAAATTCTAAGCCAGAACATTTGGAGGGCTACCAATTGCCCACCTTTGCCGTACTGCTTTGAAGGTGGCCGGCCTAATAGCCTCCCTGTGCCCCCGCCCCCTTTCTGCCCACTTCTGCTGATTTTTCTTTCAAACTTTCTGTTCCTTTCCTTCAGGACAAAAGGTTGCAACATGGAGCAATCAGATTCAACTTGCTTGCCACGCTCGCTTCTAAAATATTTATTCATTTAATAGCGATATTTTAATGCTCTTCCTTAGCTGAAACAAAGGGGACATTTGATGAAAGCTCTTAATGCCCATAACTCTGTTTTTGGAAGGGGCATTCTGGACTTTTAGGAGGGAGGGGGAAAACTGTCCAAAACCTGAGAATTGGTGGCTGGGGAATTAGGGTGTGGACCCCGGAGAGCCTTTTGAAATGGGAGAAAAATGCAAATAAAGTTTACCAAATGGAGGAGAGGGGAACTCCTAAAGAATATGCCCTTTACAAGAGGCTTCAAAAAAGTCCCTCTCAGCGGAACCCCATCCTGGACTGAGCTAATTGTGGGGAAGGGACAGCTCTGCAAGCGGAGAACGGGGCTGCTGTGGAACCAGTCTCTCGGTCCTTGTCGGGGCTGAGGTTTTCCTGGCGTCCTGGGATCTTTCCGAGACGCAGCACCAAGGGCCTGCGACCTTCGTGCAGGGACTCCGACGGCTCGCCCTCCTGTAGTGGGCACGTCCCTTGAACAGTCAGCAGGGCAGGCTATAATCTTCTCCAGCCCCCCCCCCCCCCTCGCCCTCTGCACCCATCCCTAATCCAGATTCTACATGGCCAGAAAAACAGACCCTGGACGTCTGGATTGTGAGGCAGCGGATGAAGGTGGGTGCAGTGCCGTCGGTGGGCATGCAGGAGAAGGGCTCCCACAGGCCAGAACAACCACAGGGAGGGGAAAGGTCTCTGTCCCGAAGGCGCTTACATTTCGCTGTCCAATGTGGGGAATACAATCGTAGAAGCTGCTTCCTGCTTCGCCACGCTCAGGTGGGCGCATGAGGAGGGCCACGCTGGCTGAGCTCAGTGGGTGGGCAGCGTGCGGTGCCCCCAGGGTGTCCTCCAGACACGTGTGTGTCCCGGTGCCCGTTCTCGTCCCTCCCCCCTCCTCCTCACGGCTCCCGCTCGCTCGCCAGCCAGCCAGAGCCGGGGGCAGCGTCTCCGTTGCCAACACCGTCTCGCCCGCAGCGGGCGGACGGCGCAGGGGCCGCAGGGGGAGCAGAGGCGTGGCTGCAGGGGGCGCCCTGGCTCACCTTGAAGCCGTTGGCCTTCTGTTCGCCCTCGGGGGCAGCATCCCTCGGCGGGCCCGGCAGCTTCTTCCCGGTGGGCAGGCCGCCTGGCAGGGCCCCCAGGAGCCTGTCTCCGGGCCGGAGGAGGCCCAAGGGCTCTGGGGGGTAGGCAGCAGCTTGGCTGCAGCAGGGCGCCAGCCAGGCCGCCGGGGGGGGCGAGCTGCCCAGCACGTCCAGCTCACGGCAGCCGTGGTGGCGGGCGCCGCCGAGGCCTTCGGGGTGCCGCAGGGAGAGGGTCGGTGGCAGGGACCACAGGAGGCGGGCGAGGCGCTCGAACTCCCCGCTTTCCTGCAGGGCTTCGCAGACGCGGGCCACCTGGCTTGGGGAGAAGAGGGAGACGCTCGGTGGGGGCAAGTTCATTTTGGGGCGGTCCGGGCGAGGGGCAGGGGATGCGCTGCGGGCTGGCCGGGGGGTGGGCGGGGGGGGGAGGGGTGGGGAAGGGCTGGGGAAGGGAGGAGAGTTGGGAAAGAAGGGGAAATAATACAAGATCATGCTGAGACGGACAAGGCAGGGGAGGCACCGGCTGGAATCGCCATCGCCGCAGGCCAGACGGTGCAAGCCCCCACCCCAATTCTCTCCTGGAAGATTTTGGAGAGCTTTCCAGGGATCTAGGAAGAAATCGGTTAGGATATTGACTGATTGATTGAGGGTCCAATACTATGCATGTTTCATTTCTTTTTATTTAAACAATATTTTAACAACGTTTAATATTAACTATAGGTTTTAATTTGCAGCTGGAATGAATCAGGTTTTTCATTTGTATAATTTGTATTTTTTGTATTTGTATAATTTGGTTTTTTTTTTTTGGTATCATGTTTGTTTATTTATTAAGCCGTCCCGAGGTGTTAAGCGATGGGACGGCATACAAAAACTCTAAAAAAATAAATAAATAATGAATAATAAATATTTACATAGAATTATAAGCTCGTGTCTTTAAGGAACAATCCTAAGCAAGTCTGGGCAGAAAAGATGCCTGCAATTTGGAATTTTTGGTCAGTTTAAACTTGCATCGGATTATGAACTGGATCACCAGGGTTCCCTTGCAAAATTATTAATTTATTATGCACTTACTCTAAATTGCTCATATACCATCTGATTATTATAGAATCTCAAGATGGTTTACATCAAAAGCCAGAAATTGTTTTGGAAGCCGCCCTGAGGCTTTTGCGAATGGGGCGGCATATAAATGTTCCAAATAAATAATAATAATAAATAAATAAATAAAGAGAAAATTATCATGTTTGGGGTGGAAGAAGGTCTTTCACACCTGACCTGATTAGATGCATTTCTATATTTCACTTGATCTTTCCACAGGTGTGCAAACATGATGATCCAAAATATAATTCAGATTTCAGAACAAAAAGGAAACTCAGAATGTTTTTGGTGGGTTAGGGTTCATGCCCTGTTGAGGCTTAAGATTAGAAAAAAGAAAGTGTCTTCAAACTTCTTGAAGCTTGGGATGTGATTGGGAGTGGAAGAAAGAGTGTACTGTGCAAAGAAATTAAATGTGGGCAGTTTGGAAATCCGGCATGAGACCTGTATAATTGAGCCTGATGTTAGGGTCAGGGTTCAGGCCCAGGCTAGGGTTGGGGTCCGAAAAACCACCCAAACTGTCCCGAATGGGCCTGAGAAACAAACAGCCCTTGAATGGGTAGTTTTCAGACAGCCACCTACAAATACGGGAACATTTGGTCTGCCTTCGTTGAAGCGTTTGCATCTGTCTTTCTTAATTGGTAGCAGCTGACGTCCATACTTAACATATTTAAATATAAATGGGTACACATTCCAGACTCATCCTTTGTAATTCATTAAATCCATTTTTAACGTAAGAAAAATGCCGTTTTCTCTTCCATATGTCTACGGGTTTTGTTTTCATGTGGTTCTGCTGAATTTCACCAAAGAAATGAATTCAAAAGGCATAGTAAATATATCTGCAGACAAATCTGAGTGGTAGTTCTTTTCTCCACTCACTTTCCAGAAATCTGTCTCAACATCACCTTCCAGCCATAGGGCAGTGCCCTTTGGTGTTTGGAAGTGAATTGGGCTGTGGACAAATGGGGAGAGGAATCATTTATATATAAGGCAAGGAGACAGACGTCTGCCTCCCATCCCCAGAACACGGGCAATTTATTCCTTGGGAGAAACTGTATTTCTGGTTCTCAAGAGATACAGAAAAGGAAGCACAAGACACGGTCTTAGATTTCCTCCTTTCCTTCCAGTTTTGCAGTCCCTACCTGAACTGCAAGGCCTCAGCGGTTATAGGCAGCCTAAAAATGTACATATAAATAAGAACCCCCCCCAAACCAAAACATCTTTTTGTTCCCACTCCGAGGTTGCCAATTTGTAATCCCGCCTGTGCTTTCTCCCCTGGCTCTATGAGGGCACGAAACTCTGCACACCATGTAAAATTTCCCCTTGTGATAACGACAGATAAAACCTCACAGATGTGGCGCTCCGGGATATTTTTTCCCCTGGATTGTTGGCATCCCAGCTCTGCCAGATCTTTGCCTCGAGGCTCCGTTGGTTCTGCCGGTCTCAGAAGCTTTCGTTTTTCAGGTGTTGGGCAAAAGCAGGAAGAAATTCTGCTTACCTGATTATCCTTGGGGTTACAGGATCAGAGAAGAGTCGGAGGCAAGCTGGGCGTCCCGCGTGTATGGCTGCATCCTGACAGGCTCAGCGCTCCGTCCCCCGGCGTATTTAGGGATGCTTCTGAAATGCTGGGATGAACCTTTGATACTTTGGTGCCCTGATTACTGGGAGCTAATCGCGGTGTGCAAGAGGGTTTTAACCAGCTCAGGGAGACGGTGCACCATGTGTTTCAGACGCTGACTTCTTTGCCAAAGGGTGGGCAGGCTGCCTTCTGAAGGCTGCCAACTGAGAAGGGCTCTTTCTGGAGCCGCTAACAAGAAGGGAAGCTGAGCCAGATTTGGGGGCTGGCGGGGGGGATTCGCAGGCCTCAGTTCCCCCCTGAAGTGACTCTGCCGTCCTCTGTTGCTCGTTCTGGGCTCAGCCCCAGGTTTTGACCCCATTCCCATCCAGTATGGGCATGGCACATCTTAACCCAGTGCTTACATGTTCATCTCTGCTCTGCAGGCCCAGGTATTTTTGGAGCGGGGGTGGTCCCTCGGGATAAGAACCAGCTTCTGCAGGAATTGTCCCGAGTCTTCCGATCAGCTCCAGGGGGGCTGGTTTCTCTCCTGGCACCATTTAAAGCCATGGCTGGCAGGCAGAGATGGGGCCTTTTTCTTGGCGGCACCAGAACCTCTGGAAAATTCTCCCCAGGAAAATTCCCTAGGCTGCCTTTAAGCAGGCCTTCCAGATGGAGGCAGACTTTTGGTCCACATCTGTTTCCCTCCTGGATTTTTCTGGATGAGGGTTTTTTATTTTCCTGAAATCAAACAGCATCCCGCCCCCCCACCGCCCTGTCCTTGTGTCCCTTTTTATAAACAGGGCTGCCTTTCGGAAAAGGGTCTTTGAAAGACACAGAGAAAGACTTTAGAGCGTTGCATAATTCACTAGGCACAGGTATTTGTGTGTGTGTGTGGGTTTTATACGGACCGCTGAACTCTTTGGGTATCGAACCCCAACCCGGCCTCTGGCAGCAAAATCCCCAGAACTAGGCCTGGCAAGGGGGGGCACAGGGGTGATTTAAGCGACTGAGAAGCCGGTGGCCGCAAAGCGGATTGGAGGCACCGGAGCGGGTGCCAAGTGCCAGCTGTGTTAAATAGCCTTTCCTGGGATCAGAGCAGCAAGCGGCTTCCATCCAAGTCGGAATTGATGAGCCTTAAAGGATCAGGGTGACAACAGCAGTGCTGAGCAGCCACTTAGCATTCCTGAACTGGGTTAAATCACACCTGTTTGAACCTCTTCCAGCTGAGGGAAGGGGCTTCCAAGTGGTGCTGGGGCTGTAGGACATGACCCGGGGTAGCCCGTCACCGCCCCCTCTGCCCCCCATGGTCATGGACCTGAGCCACGACAGTGCTCCAAATGAAGGACAGTCACAGGCCCTCAGCCCATCCTTCCTCACAGGGTTGTTGTGCAGATAGCATGGAGAAGGAAAATCAAACCGTCTGAGCTTCTTGGCCTGGAACAGCAAATTCGAGGATCCTTAGGAAGAAATTAAAGCACCTGATGAGAATACAGTGATGAAATATGGATGCAGAATATAAACAGGAGGAGAACGCTGGCGTGGACATTCCCTCTCGGTTCCCTGAGTACAGCTGGGGTTGTTGTGAGGGTCTCCCAAGAAAGTAACATGTCGATTTCTTTCCCCATGCTGAGAACAAAAGACAACACCTCCTGTCATGGGTTTTATTTTATAGAAGTCCTCTCTCTCGTTGTTTCAGAAGCACAGGACACAAGGGAGAGTGGAGCTGCTTCATTAAAGGAAACACTCCCGGTTCTCAGAACCAAAGCAGTGCTTATCTAAAAAAATAATTCCAGAAGGCCACTCTAAGGCTGCGATCTCTGGTGCTCCTCCGGACAAGCTGAAGGCCAGAAAGGCCTGGCATGGCTTCAAGAACTTATCTGTGTTTCTGCACATGAGGAGGGTTCCCTACACACACACACCCCATTGAACCTTAAAAACCTCCTTGTCGTTCTTCTAATAGAGCCCACCCCACGCAGAATATAAGTTAAAAAACAGAATACCAATTCTGACCCCTCTGCAGAGGTCTCTTTTTGCTGTGGTAAACGTACCTGTCCGTGAAGCCAATCTATTTATTTATGTGATTGCATTGTAAGCTGTCCTGAGGCTTTTTTGCGATTAGGATGGCATATAAATATTTTAAATAAATAAATAACCAGCTCTTCCTTTCCCTGTGTGACAAATGGTTGTCATGGAAAGCTCCCTTCCCTTGGTTGTTAACTGCAGGTTGCTTCTTGTCAGTCATTTGGTGTTCGCTTCGCAGCGGGCCTACACAAAGCCTCGTGGTTATTTTTGAAGAGCAACCTTCCCCCTGCGCCCCTCACCGAAAACCCCATGTGTATGCACGAGAGGGCCGACAAAATGCAGACAAGCCAAGCGTTCTGCAACAGTTTTTAAGATTTCTGTCTGTTCATTTGTTCTACGGCTCCTCTTTCCCAGCCTGGTCCTCTCCAGAGGTATTGCACTACAGTCCCCATCATGCACAGCCAGCATCGGCCACACTTATTCTGCAATGCCTTGGACACTGGATGCCCCAGTCCCTCACCCCATCGAGGGAATGCTTGCAGAAGTGCTCGCCATTTCCAGATATTTCCTTGCAACGTTCCAAACTTTCCACGGAATTTTGATAGACGTGGGATTCAGTGGCGGTTTTCAAATGCATCTCCGGCCCCTGGACCCTCTGGCTGCTGCTTGCTTGCTTGCTTGCTTTCCA